TCGACAGTTTTGCAAGTTTATGTACTTAAGGCCAAGAGAAAATCAAGGCCCTCATAAATGTGAGATCGAAGTGATAAATATCCCATCATCATTTATTTAGCGATTTTATGAAGTTGGCATAGCCACGATGACCTGCGGCTTGGATGTCCGTGGACATCCTGTGGTTGTGGAGGATTCCCGTAACTTCCTTAGGGAGAGGAACACCTTCCTCAGATGTGACATAGGGGAGGGAGTGGAAGTGTCGCTCTCCAGCAGAATAAGGCCTTCAAACACACAAGCAAAGCGCCTCTATGCCCAAGACACGGTGAATCTGCTCACGAGGTTGAAATAGGTGCTCCTGGCTTAAAAATCTGCCAGTAGACTCTGCCCGCCCTTACCTGGCTTGTTTGCTCCCTGTTTTCCTTGCTCCTTCAAACAAATGTATCCTACTTGAAGAAAACCCACCATTTGAATATTGGATTTCTAGAACAAAACAAAACAAAAAAAACTTTAAAGGAGTGCCCACTTGCCTTAATTAGGATTCCTTTAAATATGAAAATAATAGACATTTAACATATGATTTAACACAAAAAAATTATACAGGGATTTCAGGAACATCACTGAAGACACAGGTACTAGTAATGACTTGCTGGTTGGGCGCACACACCTATGGAGAGTCGGTAGAGTGAAATGGGTAGGAGCGCGGGTTGGGACCCAGTAGCCCTGTGTCTGGGTCCTCTCTGCCATTCGTTAGCTGAGTATGACCTTCAACAAGTGACATAACCTCTTAAAACTTCAGTATTTCTTAGAGAAATAAAATGAGTGAGTGATGCCTCCCTTGTAGTTAGCTGTATTAAATGAAAGATGTAGATAAATCAAATAGAGGTACATTTTATCCTGTATTATATTTTATCATACATTATAATATCATATATTATTTCCTTCATTTAATTTCTGCTGGCCTGAATGGGAGCAAATGCGTGGCAAGAACAAAACATGGTATTATATTTTCAGCAATATAATATAGGACCCTATATATAAATATAAGTGTGTGTGTATATATATGTACATGTAGATATAGCACCAGCATAGTGCCTGGCACATAGTAAATATTTGGTACATGGTGGTTACTATTGTGCTCTTCACAAAGACTAACTTGATGCATAACATTCCAGGCTATTTTATTGCACTGGTACCAGGAGGAGTAAAAAGCCTGTGTAACTGAGATTTTTATGGCCTTAAAGTGATGGAGAAACAATTATCAGGCATTTGCGTAAATTGTGGCCGAGATTCAACTTGTAGCAATTGCTGACATCTACTGAGTGTGTGGTGACCGGCACTCGGCAGAGTAAATACTGGGACTCAATAGCTTTCCCACGTTTACTGTATAGTATCACCTGTTCTTACTCTCTTCATTAAAAATATTCCATGCAAACGTTTGATTCCACTTCCCAGGCTAGAATAGAATTTCCCTCGGAGTGATAAAGGCAAAAATGATACAGATTGCTTCAAATTTAGGGACTAAGTGAGTGTATTCCCACAGATGTCCAAAGGTTTCTTCTTTTTCTATTTTCTGGCCTCCCTCCCCCTCCCCCTTTCCTTCCAGCACTTGTAGTTTGTTTCATAAAAGTTGAGCATTCTCACAAAGGGCCTCGGAGACACATGTGAGGAAATGCTAAGTCTGATTTGAAAGTGCCTCTCTCCTGCTCCCTCTGAGTAAAGTGACCTTTTTAAATGGAGGGAAGTGGGTTTAGATGACAGTCATGATAAATGCGGTCATGTTCACTCAATAAAATAAGGCCCAGTGCATTTGAGGATAAATCAGTGGAATGTACAGCCCCACCTGTCTGTCTCCATCATTCATTTCCACTGTCACTTTCACAGTGGCTGATGGATCACAGTTGCTGTAAAATTAGACAGCCTTTAATCTCATTTCATCCTGATTAGCTTCTCTTTACCCTTTCCCTCTGACTCACTGACTGACACGCTAAAAACGCACACGGGGCTGCCGGTGAGCACGGAGCACAAACTTCTCCTCCAGCACCTGCTCGTGAGGGCGCGGCGAGTGTCCGCCTCTAGAGAAAGCCGGAGAGGGGCAGGCGGGTCTTCTTCGTTCTTCAAAAGGTGACCAGTAAGTGCAGGACCTCCTGCCGCCTTGAACAGATGTCTGCCCTTGCTCGCTGCCCTGTTTATTTTACTTTCCTTCTGGTTCCATCAGAAATAAAGAAAGTAGGTCTTTTGCAAAACTCCAACATTGATTTCATATAGATTTTTTCTTCTAATAAATTTGGAGCCTTTTACATTCAGAAGAATTTCAAAGAGCTGTTGTGCATATTTACAGCCTCGCAATTCATGGTAATAATTCAAAAGAGACAATAATGCAGGAATGAGGATACTGACATATCCTGCCAAGAAAGACAGCATACGAGGTTTAAAAACAAGAGTAAATACTATAAGTGTCGATAAAGAGGAATGCCTTCAAGTAGCCTTTCCATTAGAACTGCAAAGACCCCCTCTCTTATTTAGAAGGTTTCAGTCGTTAGCCTAGTGCAGTGGTCGGCAAACTCATTAGTCAACAGAGCCAAATATCAACAGTACGACGATTGAAATTTCTTTTGAGAGCCAAATTTTTTAAACTTAAACTATATAGGTAGGTACATTGTTATTAACTTAATTAGGGTACTCCTAAGGCTTAGGAAGAGCCACACTCAAGGGGCCAAAGAGCCGCATGTGGCTCGCGAGCCACAGTTTGCCGACCACTGGCCCTAGTGCAATCGTTTCATTTGTTTGCATAACCGTAGGGGTAATCACATGAAAAACAGGCTTAAGGATAAACCATCTATTATTTCCTTCACTTAATGTCTGCCTGCCTGAATGGAACAAGTGAATGGCAAGAACAAAATAGAAGTACAGTTGTATTTTCAGAGACAGTGCCGTATTATAAAGCTGGACTTCCAGTTAAAAGGAAGAGATTACCATTTGTATTACTCATAAGATGCGGACATTGAACGGGCCAAAAATGTTAAGTAGATGTTGGAAGAGTGGCTGCCATCACATGTTGGTTGTAGCCGGTGGCCTCTGTTTTTCCACTCATTTCTCACGGGAGCAGATGGCCATCAAGGCTAGGCGTCTGCGCTGACCAGCTGACATGATGATGAACTGAGTAGCATCAGGCTGTTCATGAGACACGTAACGTATGGGTAGCATAGTTTGTTGTTGGTGTTTTGGAACCATCCTCATAATCCAAACAATGATGAGTTCATTTGAAAAAGAAAAAAGCAAGGATGTTCAAAACCTATCCAATCTTAGTTGTTCAATGAACCCAACACACACTCTGCTCCAAATGGATTCTAAGAGGCGACGCTGCAGAATCTGTCTGGCTGAAAGCATTTTCCAAAGAGATAACTGAGGGTTGAGGAGGGGGGGAGGACGTTCCCAAGATGACGCCCTGTGTCCATCGACCTAATTAATGGACCTCACAAACCAACGGCACACCCAATTTCTCCTACATTATCCCCGAAATCAGGGCTTTACATAGCAATGCCTTCTCCCTTGTGGCTGTCAGTTCAAAGAACAATGAATAGTCACAGTAAAAATAAAAACATGATAAAATAATCGAAACTCCTACAATCCTTGAGTAAAATGCTTCAAGGATCTGGTTGGCTCTTTCAGAAGCTGCATTATGGGTTTCAAAGCTTTGCCTGTTTCCTATTCTTTTTACTTGCCTACCTTAGCCTGCCTAAGCACCTTCTGAAAAAATATATAATATATTTTTATTATTCTGAAAAATATAATAATAATAACAATAATAATAACAAAATAAGATGAGAGAGGTGTGTCCTCCAAAACACGCCGGGTGTAGGACAGGCGAGCGCTCTCTCTTTCCCTCTCTCTCCCCATTGGAGGGAGAGCTGGAGGCAGACCTGGCCTTGAGTCATATTGATTTCCCAGCGCACTGGTTCCTTAAGTGCTCTGCTGATCCGTGTCAGGCAATACGTTCCCTGCCTGAGCGTGCACATCACCTCCATCTCTCCTCACCTAGATTTAAGGTGCCCATGTGATGAGCCGAACAAGGACATCATTTACTCCGGGTGTCGCCGGGCCCCGCCAGCGCATGTGTTATAACTGATGCTGCGGACGGTCACATTTACAAAGGAGATGACACCGGCCGAGGTCAACACCGCGCTGTGATTGGGGGGGGGGGGGGGAGGAGGACAGGGGTGTCCTGTTCTGGTTGCGTGTGTCTCCCAAATGAAAATGTAAATGAGAACCAACCCCGAGAAACCTGGCTTTCACGGGCTTCTGACTACCACCCCCTCCTCGCAGCCCGCACCCTGGGGCAGGGAGACGGGCGAGGTGAGCGGGATGAATATTCGTGATGTTCCTGACGGTTTTTATCTTTGTTCCAGAAGAGCTCCTAAGCAGAGAGATAGGCGATGTGTGATTGTGCTGCTAATGACATTGTACAGGAAATTGAGCGTATGCATTTGGAGGAGGCATTAAATCAGCAGGACCTTAATTTAAAAACTGAACACTGTATGGAAAGCCGGCCTGCTCGGCGCTGGGGGATAGACAGCCACCCAGCACCCCGAGTGTGTTTACGGGGGCATCTCAGCAAACCGAGGGGGGGCAGGGCCTCTGAATGGCCCCACGGGTGTGCAGGGTTAGCTCCTCCAGGAGGGCGCTTGGGAGTCTCAGTCACTGCTTCAGAGCGAGAGCCCCACCAGCAGGCAGGGAGGGCTGGAGAACTGAAAGCAGCGTGACAGGTTGTTCTTGGCTAATATGTGGAATAACATGATGTAAAACTCATCCGAAGGGGCCGGGCTTGCCGTCGCTGGGCACAGCCCCTGAGCCAATGTGGGGGGGGGGGAGGGGGGCGCCCTGCTCTGCTGTTGGCTCTCTCCTTCCGACGGACTTCATCTCACGTTCTCTACACTTTGGTGAAAGCAAATACCTAGTGAGCCACAGGCAGGGGCTCAGATGGAAAAGGTCACACAGCTGTGTTTTCTTCTTCATTCCAGTCATGCCCTACAACAGCGCCCACCACTGCGTCGTGGAGGTAGAGAACTTCCTGTTCGTGCTGGGCGGAGAGGACCAGTGGAACCCTAATGGTAACTATATATTTTTTAATATATTTTCTATTGATTTCAGAGAGGAAGGGTGAGGGAGAGAGAGAAACATCAATGACGACAGAGAATCATTGGTTGGCTGCCTCCTGCACACCCCACACTGGGGATGGAGCCTACAACCCGGGCCTGTGCCCTGACCGGGAATTGAACCATAACTTCCTGGTTCCTAGGTCGATGCTCAACCACTGAGCCGCACCGGCGGGGCCTGATGGTAACTATTGAACAAGGCAATAGCGGCTGGCCCACGAGGACGTGTGCCAGGAAAGGCCCTGGTAACTGTCCAGCATCATGACTGCGGGCGATGTGTGTCTGTGCCGCGGGACCCGGAGGGGTCAGGGAGGTGGGCTGTGAGCGGAAGGAAGGCCAGTCCTGAGCTGGCAGAGGAGGCCAGCAGCGCACTCACTCACTCACTCGCTCGCCGGCTGCCTGGGGGCTCAGCTCTGAGCCGGCGCCCGGCCCTCTCCTCACCGGCCCTCGAGGGATGGAGGCCACGGCCACGCACGGCCTCCCAGAGGCAGGTGGCCAGCTGCAGCTGCGAGGATCCCCCACCTTCTCCACCACGGGTCTCCCGTCTCACAGCATCATGATGCCGCTTCAGTAACGAAGCGTGATCGGCAGCCGCGCTGCACGAAACCTGCGCGGAGGTTCTTGTGCGGCTTCTATTCCTGGAGACCCGTGGCAGGTGGCCCGCCCTTCCGGGCTTCTTCCGCTGCTCACCACCACCCCGCCTGCTGGTGTGGGTGCTTCGGGCATTCACCGCAGAGAAATGAAGCCCTTGGATATTTCCCGAGCCCAGCCCGAGGGGAGCGCGGGGCCTGGCAGGACACGCAGCCTTACCAAGGTCTGGGGGAAGCTCGCACTCGGGGAGGAGCTGCGGCTGCACCTGCTGTGTAACCGGGGTGCTCATGGCTGAGAAGCCATCAAACAGCTGCAGGTACACGTTTTCACTTTAAAGCCCCGAACATCCCGATGAGATTACATAGGCCGCGTGTATTTTAGCGCGAATGCTCTCTTTCAGCATCTGCACAGGCAAGTTATAGAGAATCGGCACATCTGTTCATTCTAGAATATCTTAAAGGAACACCACCCGGCCACCCTCCGGGACCGTTTCTCTGAAGCGAGGGCGCATTCTTCAGCGAGACCTGCAGCCCTGTTGGTGCACGGCTTTCCTTGCTGGAAAGGGGACAGTTCCTGGCCTTGCGAGAATAGGAGCGAAAATGATAGGTCCTCGCTCTCCTCCAGCTTTTCTTTGAAATGACGGCTTTGATGGTACCAAAGGCCCCGGCATACCCGCAACCCCCGCCCCCCCAACAAACACCCCAATGGCTGCTTAACCCGTCCTTCCTCGGCGGTGATTTCCGCTGACCGGAGCACCTGTAAGGGAACGTGCAGTCTTGTCATCAAGCTTATCTGAGCAAAGGATCTGCAGAACCTTCTCTTTAAAGGCCAGGCGAAAGCTAGGCCCTGACCAAAGGCCCGGCCGCAGGGCCCTGCTTCCGATGGCAGCCCTCTCCGCCCACCTGTTCCCCGGTGAATGGCCGCTGTCACAGTACCAGCCTCGGCCACAGCTCAGTGTTCACAGAGCCCTGTGACCGGCCATTCCCCTGAGACCGGCCCTCATCAACCGCACGGAAAACCTGCCCCCGGTTTATCTCCCCCTGATGACCCGCAGCAGCTCTCTGCTCCGCTTCTATCAAACGCACAGCTCAGAGGGCCCGGTGGGGGATGAGGATGGACATACTCCTTCCTCTACTTCAGAGAAGCCAGGTTTTATCTTCAACTAATGCAGACTCCCACGAAACTGGGCCCGTGGACCTCACTGGTGTGCCTCCCCCGACCCTGAGAAGAACAGCAATTTGCTTGAAAGCCCTCATTGAAGATGCTGTGAGCAAAGACTCCAGAAAGCATAGCATTGCTTTCCTGTGGGGACGCCTGTCACCACCCAGCCAGCTCCGTGTGAGCCCCACGTGACACGTTCTTGTCAGACCAAAGTCTTGAGTCACTTTTGAAAATTATAGCTAATGCTATTCATGTGGTTTAATGGGCATCTTCTCTCTCACTTTAGCTACTCAGA